TGCCATAAGTTTGGACACCTAGCTCGCAATTGTCTAGAGGCACGGCAAAAAACTCCTAGTTTCATATCCACTATTCTAGGGCGAGTTTTTTCTTTGACTAGAGAGGAGGCCGATACATCTCCTAATCTAATTAAAGGTACTATTTCTCCTAAAGGATATGTTATACCTATGTTGTTTGATTCTAGTGCTACTCATTCTTTTATTGCTGTGGATTGTGCTCAAAAGTTTAAATTTTCAATGCATGATTTGTCTTACTCATTGAAAGTGTCAACTCCAGCAGGATCCAATGTGTTAACCACACACGCTTGTTTAAGTCTCATGCTTAAATTTGAGAATTGTGAGTCTATGATTGATTTCTTTTGTCTACCCCTCAAGGGTATTGATGTGATTATTGGCATGGATTGGCTATCAGTAAATAATGCCATTTTGGATTACAAAAGAAAAATGGTAACTCTTTCTTTGTGCACTATGATAGTTGAGACTATTAATGGTCTTTTGTGGTTGTCTACTACTTAAGCAACTAAGTATACTCAAAGGGGTTGTTAGGCCTACGCTATATTCTTTTCTATTAGTACGAATCAAGAAGTTGGTATTGAGCAGATCTAGGTGGTAATGGAGTCTCCTGATGTATTTTTTGAGGAAGTGTCTGGTTTACCCCTAGAGAGGGAAGTTGACTTCTCTATTGAGCTAGTGCTAGGGACAGCTCCAATTTTCAAAGCACCATACAAAATCTCACTTTCTGAATTGGCAGAGCTGAAAAAGTAAATCGAAGAGTTACTTGAAAAAGGTTTTATTAGACCAAGTATCTCACCGTGGGGAACACTAGTACTATTTATGAGAAAGAAGGATAGGAACTTGAGATTGTGTATAGATTATAGACAGTTGAACAAAGTGACTGTCAAGAACAAGTATCCTTTACCTAGGATTGATGATTTGCTAGATCAGCTAATGGGGTTAGCGGTGTTTTCCAAGATTGACTTAAGGTTTGGATATCATCAATTAAGAGTCAGAGCACGAGACATCCTAAAAGATGGCATTTCGCACCAGATATGGGCACTACGAGTTTCTAGTAATGCCTTTCGGTTTGACAAATGCTCCAGCGGTGTTTATGGACTATATGAACAGGATCTTCAGGCCCTACTTAGACAAGCTTATTATGGTGTTTATAGATGATATCCTAATATAATCTAAGAACAAGGAAGAATATCGAGAGCATCTTTACATTGCATTGCGAATATTGAGGGATCATCAGTTGTATGCCAAGTTAAGTAAGTGCAAGTTTTGGCTTAGAGAAGTGAAGTTTTTAGGTCACATAGTATCTGTCAAGGGAGTGGCTATTGATCTTAGCAAGGTTGATGTCATGTTGAAATGGGAATCACCAAAATCTATGATGGAGGTGAGACATTTCATGGGCTTAGCTAGGTGTCACACCTTACTATTGGATCCACTTAGGGTTTAATTAAAACCATTTTAGACCACATTGGATGGTCTTGGGCTCAAAAATTCTTGAAAAACGCTTATTTTCGGATTTTTACTGTTCATCAGGTAAAAATCCAGTTTTTTGGCCCAACTTCAAAAATTCATAACTTATTCTAAAAAAATTCAAATGAGGTGGTTCAAAATTATATTAAAAGCTATTTAAGTCCTTTTGCAAGGAAAAATAATCTCATGATCCAATTCCATTGGAAAAAGCGTCGGTTTTTGTGAAATTCACCTCTGTCTATTTGGCAAAAATCCTTTTTCCAGATTCTGAAACTTAACTTTGAAAAATCATTAAAAATTGTATACTTGGAAATTTTTAATGTGCTGCCTATCAATTTGAAGCTCAGGACGTCAAATCTAACCATGCCAAATATCATGCAGAAATTCATTTGGTAACTAAATAAATCATGGCTCTAACCTAACATCCTGCTTAGGGGTTACAGCACTAACCATTGATAATTATACATAACCAAATGTCCACGAATTTTTATGGTGTATCGCCATAATTTAGCCTCCAATCTGTAGCTTACTCTTGAGAGTTTCAGGCCCTAAAATGTTACATTATATTTGGGGGATGAGATTTTTGAAAATCCCAGTAGCAAGATCAATCAACCAAAATATTAACATGCATCAATTACAAGCATTCCAACCTTTTGCTATTAATAGGGAACTACTTTACCTCATACATGTAGCACTCTAACATGCAATAGCCAAGGCACATAAAGCAAGGAGTATAGCTACACAATCATCATCATCCTCATCATTTAGTTCAACCACATAATAGCACATGAAATTGCATAGCAATCAATGCAACAATCAACATTAAGGCTAATTAAATCTTACTACCTTAATCCAATGCTCTTTGATTTTCTTGTTCTTCTTTCTTGCTTCCACAAATGCCAAATTCTAACATGGCAATCCACAAAAATGGCAGCAAGAATCATCAACCATTCCTCATGAAAAATTAACAACATAAATCAAGTAACCTCTAACCCCTTAAAGCTTCCATCTTTGTTCTTGAATTTTTAGAGTTACTTTCCATAAACCCTAAAAATTCCCTCTTGAACTTTTCCTACATAGTTTTTCATGTAGATTCCAAATATCTACTTAAATTTAACAAAATAAATTTCCCCCTTTCAGTTTCAGCTTGGCCGAACCACTATGGTTCATTTTCCAAAATTACAACTTTGATTCTATGGCTTCCAACACTTGTTCTTTAGGTTTACCCTACACTATTTTCCATTTTGAACACAATGGAAACCTCAAAACTTTGAAAAACTCATCCTAGGGTCTAGATCTAGCTTTGGCCAAAAATAACACTCAAGGAAATAACCATGAAAAATGCTTCAAAACCAACTATAATTACTTGCAAACACTAGGATCTAACTTGTGTTGTTGTATCTTAGCAAGATCTAACAACCAAACTCCCTCACCACCAAGAAAATTATTTTAGCCAGCAAAAAGAGAAGGAGGAGACAGATTTTTCAACCATAAAAAGCATGAAAACAAGACAAGGAACAACTTGAAACCAACAACTAACCTTAAATCTCACTTAGATGATCAAAGTTGCTCCCTTTCTCATGATTCCTCCATGAAGTTCTCTCTTTTCTCCCACCTTTCTCCTTTGGCCGAACCTTAGATTTGATTTAGGGGCAGAGATGAGCTCATTAATGCTCTCAAAATATCCCATCTACTACAATTAATGAAGAGCCAAGTGTCAAGTGCCTATTCCTTCTTAATTTTCCCTCTTAATTAACTTAATGACAATTGAAATTAATTTCAAAAAGTGAAGATCCTCTCCAATGGTGGCTTGACACTTGGAAAGCTCTAATTACCACCCATTAAAGACTTGACAAGTGGTAACTTGTAGGCCAAGTAAAGTGCAAGACTCCGATTAACACTTTACGGTGCACTTTTACTCCGGGTTTAATTCCTTTTCTATAATTACAGTGCTATGGCCTCTGTAATTATTTTCTGTCAGATCCATAAATTATTCTCCTCATTTTTATCTTCCCAAATTGCCCTCTTTGTCTCACATTTAATTTCCCAGTAATTAAATATAAAGGAAAACTATTTTTCTTCTCTTTAGTGATTTTTCCTCTTTCCAAAGGAATTGGGGAAAATCTTGGATACTCGAGGGTTTTATTTTAATTTCATAATCTCTTATAATTCCTTGGGATATCATAGGAATTTTTTTGGGATTTTATCCTCCTTAAAAATATTTATTTGGAATTTTCCAATAAAGGACCTTAAACTAGCTTAAATCACCCTTAAATTCCTTTGTAATTTCTCTAAGGGAAAATTAGTTATAAAAAAAATTTTATAATCCCATATAATTCTCAAAGAACATTGTCCTTATTTTTCCTTAATTTTCAAAGGCTTGGAAATATTTTTCCATAATTACTTTTGATCAATTTTCCTTAATTAGTCAAACTTTCTATAATTGGCTTGAAAAATTATAATAATTATTTTCCACCAAAATTCTTCTATTTCTCCTTGTCATTTTGACCCTTAATTATTTAGGAATATTCCTATTTCCTAAATGCCATATTTCTGGATGTGACACTAGGTATTACTGAAAGATTCATTAAGGGATTTTCTCATATCGCCATGCCTCTAACTATGCTGACCAAGAAAGACCAGTTATTTATCTAGGATGAAAATTGTGAGGTAGCTTTCTAAGAATGGAAGGCTAAGTTGACCATGGCCCTAGTGTTGACTATTCTAGATCCTAGTAAACCATAGACCCTTTACACCGATGCTTCACTTAAGGGTTTATGGTGTGTCCTGATACAGGAAGGTAAGGTGGTTGCCTATGCATATAGGCAATTAAGGCCACATGAGGAGAATTATCCTACATATGACTTAGAATTAGCTACGGTGGTTTTTGCATTGAAGATCTCAAGGCACTACTTATATAGATCACAGTTTGAAGTCTTTAGTGATCACAAGAGCCTGAAGTATTTAGTAGATCAGAAGAAACTAAATAATAGACAACGCCAATGGATGGAATTCATCAAGGACTACGACTTTGAGTAGGAAAAAGGTGCATGTGTTTCACATGAGTTTAGAGGAACACTATTGCTTAGAGAGATTGAGAGACCTCCAAGTAGTGCATGAGGCTCCAGCCACTCTACAATAAACTTTTAGGTGATTATGAGTTCTTTTGAGACTTAAAGGCTGCATAAATAGAGGATGACTGGTTGTTGAGCATCTAAGAAGAAGTGGAGACCTGTGATGTGCTTGATTATAAAATTAGTGAAGAAGGAATCCTAAGGTACAAGAAGAGGATTTGTGTCCCGATAATGAGGAAATCAAAAAGACTATTCTAGAAGACGTGCATCACAGTAATTACATGATACACCCAGGGATAACGAAGATGTACTAGAACTTAAAAAAGAACTACTGGTGGCCAAAAATGAAGAGGGATGTCATGAATTGAAGTGTCTGGCATGTCAAAAGGTCAAGATAGAACATCAGAGACCTCTTCGACTATTAAAGAATCTAGATATTCCCCAATGGAAATGGGACAGTATTTCCATGGACTTCATCACTGGTATGCCAAGAACCTTAGCTGGCTACAACGTGATATGGGTAATTGTGGACAGATTGACTACGTCAACACACTTCCTGCCTATCAAGAGTACCTACTCTTTGGAATGATTGACAAAGCTGTATATAGATGAGATTGTTTGACTTCATAGAGTGCCGGAGTCCATCATTTCAGATAGGGACCTGAGGTTTACATCAAACTTCTGGCGGTCATTATATGAAGCTACAGGCACTAAGCTCAAGTTTAGTACTACTTAACATCCTTAGACCGATGGACAGACCAAAAGGACTATTCAGACTCTGAGGACATGTTGATTCTTGTGCTATAAAGCTAAAGGGCAGTTAGGACACTCACTTGTCATTAGCAGAGTTTGCCTATAGCTCACTTGTCTAGTATTCAGATGACACCCTATGATGCTTTATATGGGAGGAAGTGTAGATCTCCAATTTATTGGATTGAATTAAGTGAAAGAATAATTATTGGCCTAGATTTACTAGATATCACAACCAGAAAGATTGAGTTGATTAAGCAGAAGTTGTTGATAGCCTAAAGTTAACAGAAGAGTTATGCGAATCGTTGGAGGAGACCGTTAGAATTTGAAATGGGTGATCATGTATCTTTGAAGGTTTCACCTGTCACAGGTGTGGGCAGATCCATCAAAGCCAAGAAGTTTACACCCCGATTCATAGGCCCTTATGAGATTTTAGAGAGAATTGGACATGTTGCATGCCAAATTGTGTTGCCGTCACATCTCTCCAGTTTACACGATGTGTTCCACATGTCACAGTTGAAGAAATATTATTCGGATTTGTCTCATGTTATTGAGCCCAAAGAGGTCGAGTTGTGAGATAATTTGACCTATCTAGCAGAACCAAAGTGGATTTTAGACGTTAAGGACAAATAATTAAGAAATAAGACCATCTGTCTTGTTAAGGTTTTTGGAAGGGCATGAGTCCCATTGATGCTACTTGGGAGACTGAAGAGCGAATGCATTGTGAGTACCTTTTCTTATTTTCTTAGTAAGCACCTTAAGTTGCTTCTTTTTTTTTTTTTGTGGTTGTTTGAATTTTAGGAACAAAATTCCTATAGGTTGTGAGAGTTGTAATATCCTAAATTTTATTTTAGGATTTATGCAGAAAACTAGTAAAATTAAATAAAATTTATTATATTATTATAAAATAATAATATTTTATTATTATTAAAAAAAATGATGACCACCTTTTCTATCGAATTCGGTGGAAAGGTAGGAACATTTAATATGAGGAAGAAATTTGGGGAAGAAGGATTTAATGAAAGAAGAAAAATGGGAGATGGGTGGTTGGAAGATGCAATGAGATGGAATAAAAGAGAGTATGGGAGGCAGACAATGAGAGTGCGGGAAGAGAGAGAGAGAGAACTAGCAGAGCAAGAAAGAGCGAGCAAGAGGTTGAGATTTGCAGGATGCATGGTACTTGAAAGACAATATAATATTTGGGGATCATTCAAGTACACAAATATACTTCTTTTTATCAAACTTTCTTCATGAGTATTTCCTATATATTTTAAGCTTTCTAATGATAGTATTACTATAGTGATTAAAGAAAATTTTGAGATTTAGGTATGAAGTAATTATTGAGTTTTGATAATAGATGACCATAGAAATTTAAAAGTAAATTAGTAGCTAATTTTAATTGGAGTTGGTTTTTAGTATTTAAAATAATTTTTTTAGTTGAAAAATCTATTATATATGATCTATATCATACTTTTACCAATTGAAATTAAGTTAAATAATTCATTTGGGTTGTTTGATATATTATTGAGATTTTAATCGGTTTAGTTTTATTTATTGGGTGACTGAAGGTTTTAAAATAACTATTTTAGCAAAAAAGTTCATTATTTGTGGGGAAAAAATGTGATAGTTATACTATTAATTTTTTATTAGCTTATTTATTTATAAATATTTGAGGTAGTATTGAATTTTTTGATGGTTTGGTTTTAAGGTTTAGACTTCAAATGGGATTTTTAGAATTTAAAACATAATAATTTCATTTTTGGAAATTTTGAAAATTGTTTTTATTAAAGTAAATAATTTGGAGGATGTAAATAAATAATTTGGCTTATTAAAAAAATTATAAGTTAGTTCTAAAATACTTAATTTTGGGTTATAAGAGTTGTAGGAATTTAGAATATAAATTAAATTAACATAGAAATTTAACTAATATATATGAGCTTAATTAATTAATTAATTAGCTTATATTTTATATTAATTGTGTAGATTAATTATTGGTTGAGCAAAGGATTAACCTTGTGGTAATTCTTACTATTGATTTGGCGAGAGGTAACCATTTTCTACTTGTTTTATGTGCTAATATGTTGTTTGTGAGTGTGTGTTATTTTAGAATAATGTTGTGCTATTTGAAACTCCAGGAGATATATTATACTTTTTTAGCTATGAAAATTTGTTTTGTGGCACTTTTGGAATTGTGATTTAGCCGTTTAGAAAAATAGATGATCTATATCTTATAGATATATGTTGAGAAAAGATTGAGATATTTCTCATTATATTGTAAATGATTGGTTATTATTTGGATTTTGAGATAAGCCCTATTCTACCAAGTGGTAAGGCTGCCATTGGTGCACATTGTTTGGCTTCTTTCATCCCCCATGGTAAGGGATAGGCTTTTGTGGCTTCTTATTCATCTTCCAAAGTAAGGGATAGGCTTATAGTCTGATTAATCCCCATAGTGAGGGATAAACTTATGTGGCTTGTGTGTTAACCCTCATAGTAAGGGTTTGGATGATTAAAATTATATTTCTATAGAAATATCTATATTTCTCAAGAATTAATAACTATCCCGCTTGACACCTCACGAGCACGTGTTAGTATGTATGGTAAGTTGAAAAGTTGGTTATTGAGGCTTTTGTCTCACCCTGTGGTTTCTCATATCTTTAGGTGCTAGTTCAGATGGTGGTCCATTAGGAAAGGCTCCAGAGGCCTAGTATGCTGTTATAGCTTGTATAGCTTCCCTTCTTTTGTTTTATGTATGGAACGATTATATATTGCCACATGGGGCTCATCTACTCTAATATTATAAGCTAATACTTTTAATTACTGCTATTTGATGAGAGGGCCGTTAAAGGGCTAGAGACCTCTAAGACTACATGTGACACTCTTTTAAAAGTATTGACTTTTAATTAATGGACTCTATAGCTTATATTAAAATGATTTATCAGTTCTAGGGGTGAATATTTGGTTTTTTCAGTTCGGTTATTAATGATAACTGAATTAACCGAACAACTGAATAGAGCAAATTTTAAATACCAAACCGAAAGCGATAACCGAACTAACTGAAACCGAATTAACCGAACTATTTTAGTTCGGTTAACTGATTAACCAAAATACATAAATATGAAAGTGATTTTAAATTAATAATAATAATAAAACACAATTACAACCATTAATTATTAAATATTTCATCATTTAATGTGATTTATTATAATAATATTTATTATAACCATATTTATTGAATATAAATATATTTAAAGAGTTTACATAAACCCACACATATATTTATTATAATAATATTTATTAAATATAAATATATAATATATTTATTTCGGTTTTTCAGTTATAACCAAAAAAATTTTCTACTAACCGAACCGAACACCGAAACCAAAATATTACAAAAATAAAAACTGAATATGTAACCGAAAACTGAAATAACCGAACCAAAAAACCAAAATTAAATTCGGTTCAGTTTGGTTTTTTGTTACAGTTCAGTTATGTTCACCCCTAATCAGTTCATATGCTTGAAAGTATGAGTTTGGTTTGGACTAATGGTTGAATGGTATTTCTAGATTCCGAATGTCCAAGGCTTAAGTGAATGGTTGATATTGCTCATGATATAAGTGTATTTCTTTTAACCATGATAGTGGTTTTATAATTTTAAAATTTCTTCTTTTCTATCGTGGTTAATCTTCCAGATAAATTATTTGATTTAATCTAAATGGGCTTTTGGGGAAGAACGGTCATCATACATAGCCTACATCAACACATGATTACTTGATGATATATTCACATGCATAGCCACTTTGGTCAGTAATACAAATATTCAACATAATTTAAATAATTCATAATAATCATAAAACATAATTTTAATGGCATTAGATTCAACCATCTTCTAATATGATTTCCTTTCCTTTCTCCTTGCCATTGGTAACACCCCCTAAGATTCTTATTGATTGTTTATGCATTGAGAGGAGTTAGATTTTATAGAAATCTCAATAGCAAAGAAATTACAATGATAATATTAAACATGCAAGGTATATTACAATCAATACACCAAAAAATTTTCTACCTCTTTGCCATATAAAAACCATATCAAATCAATCCAAATCAATAAATGAATGCATTATGCCAAGGCATCTTATGCAAGCAATTCAAACACATTATCATCAAAAAATTTCAAATAACATATGGCATATATCCTAAGGATAGTACCATGTAATAATTAAGCAAGTCAACATTAAAATTATAAATTTCATGCCACTTTTTTTAACCCACAATTTCGGCCTCCTTGACTTCTTTGGGTTCCTCCTTGTTTTCTTGCACAATGCCTATCAATCCAAACACTGTCATAGCCTGAAAAATTCATCCCAGTATTGTGAGTTAAAAATCTTGTTTTGGGCCAATATAAAAGGTAGATGGAAGGACAAAATAACTTTTGATATGAAATCTCGATAGGTTCTGGACTGATAATTTTAGAATTATCGATCTAGAAAAGGCACAATGGGAAAATTTGAAAAAAAATTAGAAAATTTTTGAAAAATTGTAAAAAGATAAATTAGAGGTTTTGGGACCTTAATGGAGGCCCTAAAGGTGAAAATGGTGTGAAAATAGATGATTACGGAATTTCTTGAAAACGGAGGTTTTTCAGGAAAAATAGTGAAAATTGAATAAAAATAATTATTATAATTATTTAGAGGCCTCAATAATTCTCACAAAAATATGGAATAATTATCTATATATTTATTGGAATTTATAAAATTGGTTTCAAGCATTTAAATATAGGAATTTATTTTAGAAAATTTATTTTCAAAAGTCTAACTGATAGAGCCCTATTCGGGAAAAATTCAAAATAAATAGTTAGAGGTAGAGAAAAATTTTAAAAATTTTCAGATTGCATTCTTATATTAAAATAGGATTTTTTTTATGAAGAAAAATGGGATTTTGGAAGCTTAAAAAATTATGAAAAGTTACAAGTGAATAGTTGCCAATAAGCTTCAATATTGCTTGGAATTAATATTTTATTGTTAGACTAAATTCTTAAAACTTTCTAGATCAAAGTGGGCCCCACATTGACCCAAGAAAAGCCCAAAAATTCATGCAAAAGCTTGGCCAAATAATTAAATTGAATTTAAGCCCAATTTTCACATAAAAATCAATGGAATATTCTAGGAATTTCACACATGGCATGATCATGAGACTTGGAGCATATGATGGTAGCCAAGTGTCCTCTTATGTGGTAGTTTAGCATGCCAAAATGGAGGGGGGAGGGACAGATTTCTTGCTCTATAAATACCCCATAAATACACTAAAATAGGCAAAAAAATTGACAAAAGAGGGGAGGTGTTGTCCAATAGTTTACTTGAGCTGCAAAGCTGATTTTAGTAAGTGCATTTGGACAAGGAATCACCAAGTTTTAGTCAAGGATTCATCAAGGTATGTTTGAGCTTTATTATGGTTAAGATTAAAGCTTGTTTTGATTAAAAATTTGAGTTGTTTTCTAAGGTGGAATTTCTGCCCAAATTTAGTTGACATAAGTATGCTTTAGGGAAGGATAGAAGCCTTAAAATGAGTTGGAATTA